TTAAATTGTTATTTTTATTCCCCTCCCCCTACAGACAATGAATTGTAAATATAGGGACTAGTTTAGGTCTTCATAGAGTTTCTGAGGCATTATGGTGGTTGAGGTAAGAATGGTAAGTAAAAATGCGTTGTTTTGGTGAATGGAATATTGTTTGTATGCCTGGGTCAGTGATTGTGACTAGCTAAGTTTAATCTTAAGACAGTTGATGACCGTCCTTTTCCCCATTTCCCCTTTTTGGCCTAGTGCCGCATTTGTACAGTTTACGTATAATAAATATAGTGAGATCTCAGCTGCCACAAAAAATCCACGACAGTTGAAACCATGTGCCAATCTTCTCACTCACACCACCACTCACATAACCATTTTTCTTACACAGCAAAACTGTTGAAAACATTTATTACCAGAAACTATTACAACCTATTTCTTTCAGTGAACTTTGAAACAATTGATAGTTAAAGAGAAACAACTCAGTTTTACTCAGTGTATGTTTTTCTTTCACATCCTTGTTTGCACATCTTGTTAAATACAAATTTTATGTGTAATGATGTCTTTGGCTTATCCTCTTTTTCTTCACGTTAGTTTGGTTTCCTAAATAAATGTGGTGAAGGCCGCCACAAATGCGTCGGTTCGGACGTGGCTTCGAAGGGGGTTGTCCTTAAAGAGTAGTGTTGAGGCCTGTGCCATTTACATCTTGCCCCTCATCCTTTACTGCTTGGCTGTACTTCCTCTTTACTGGAAACGTATGGAGTCGATCGAACAATTGTTCATCACTCTCTTGTGGGGTGGTCTCAAACATTGGGTCCGTAAAGAAGCCTGTTATCAGCGTCTGTGTCATGGGGGACTGGGATTGCTGCACGTAGCGAGTCATCGGCATACCTCAAAGTTGACTTTCCTACGTCACGTTTTGACGGAGGACTCTATTTTGGCGCCGAGTGTTAGAGATGTCTTTCCTAGCCTTACCATCACTGACCCCATTTCTTGGGGTAAGCGCTGTCGCAGTCGTGGAGGATTGTCGAGTTTCCTCAGCGAGTGTCGTTCGGCCTTAAAGGGCTTTCCTCGGTTCAGTGACCTTTCTCGGCCTCGGAGAATATTGTATCATGAATTAGTGGAGGGGGAAGCGAAGGATTCTCTGAATGACTGGCTTGGTTTGTTAGCAATAGAGTTGGGCTCCTTTTAGTCTTGGGCGCCAGCGACGAATTATATCAGAAACTCTTAGTTATCGCTTAGCTTAGCGATTGATTCGGAACGTGCTACCTCTCAATGACGTAACCTTTAAGGGGATGAGGCAGATTTGACAGTCTGTCATCGGTCCGCTGTTTTTTATCTCGGCTGAGTCAGCCTTTGTTTTTTCCCATTCCGTCATTTATTTTTACCTTCCCCATTCCATTAGCGAGCGTGCCGCTTGATTCTGTCTATTGGCAAAATACAGCGGCCTCTCTTATTATTTTGAGGGGTGAATGGGTCTTGTTTTGATATATCTTTGTGCTACATTTTAGTTTGTATTCTGGGTTTCTTTTTCCCTCCCCATCATTTCATGAATCATGAAATTTTTATATATCTTTGTCAAAAAAAAAAATAAATAAAAATAATAATAATGGTAAAAAGGGCATTTTGTACTCTCATTAGATTTTTATCACATGTTTTTTTTTTTTTTTTTTCATAAGTCCCCCTGTGAATATGCTGTATTTTGATGTATGCAGGATCAAGAGGTGATGGACAAGTTTTTTTGGTCAATGAGCAAATTGTAATGAATGAATGGGTCGCGAATCTGATTAACTAGGACCAAGATAGTTAATGAAGTCCAGCCCCACCCCAGGCCTTGTACCATAATTCTTTATGTTACAGAAAATGTTCAGAGGTATGGATTTTAAATTTCATTTTATAATTAAATTTAAAATTTTAGTTTCTGTTTTGAAACATGGTAATTCCATATTTTTAAAATATAAAATAATTTATGCTCTACCTAGAGCATTGTTTTTTTGATAAAAAATATTAAAACACCAGATTGTAAAATTTTACTGTTCTTAATTATTATTTCAATATATATTTATATATATATATATATATATATATATAGAGAGAGAGAGAGATAGATATATATATATATATATATATATATATATATATATATATATAATATATATAATATATATATATAATATATATATATATATATATATATATATATATATATATATATATATATATAATATATATATATATATATATATATATATATATATATATATATATATAGATATATATATATATATAGATATATAATATATATATATATAATATATATATAATATATATATATATATAGATATATATATATATATATATATATATATATATATATATATATATATATATATATATATAATATATATATATATAATATATATATATATATATATATATATATATATATAATATATATATATATATATATATATATATATATATATATATATATATATATATATATATATATATATATATATATATATATATATTTATATATATATATATATATATATATATATATATATATATATTTTTATTTTTTTTGATTGGCGATGGTTGTTTCGGTATAAAATAGATTGGAAACACCGACTATACAACCATCGCCAAATATTCAAAAATAAAATTTAAAAAAAACAAACAGCACTATCAAATCATTATTGGTCTTTATTGGAGAGTGGCCTAACACCACAAATAAAGTGGAGAATAATATCAAGAGCCAAAACTCCCCATAACTTCAGAGACAGATGCAACTTATATCTGAAGGAGAAAATCTTCATAATCAAACATAAAGATCCTGACATAAATAAACATAATGAACTAGTGTTTAAATGCCGACACAAAAACAACCTAAACCTAAGTAAGTACACTAAGGAATAATCATATAGGAACAGCAATTTTGAATGTTTTATATTCCCTTTGTTTTTAGAAATATTACTATGCACAAGTGGACACTAACACATGACTGTATATATACAACCATGATAATGTATTTGCACACTGAGACACCTGTTGATATGTACATGTATATGTTTTTATACGGTAAAAGAATCATACCTGTTTTTTTGTTTTTTTGTTTTTTTTTTTGTTTTTTGTGAGTGTGGAGATGTACAATTAGTTAGGTACTTATATGTTTTGCCATAAATATGAAAGATCGGGTAATATTATATGTGTAAAGACATAAATAATGTAATTAAATACTGAGATAGTCTTCGAACGCAGGCATAAGTGGTTGCACAGATGGACATGAGAATAGGGACAAATACGTAGGTAGAGATATATATAAGTGCAAATTAACGTATGTGGGTAGATAGAAGTCTGTAGATTGCGTATGCATGTGTGTGTGTGTGTATACATATGTGTGTGCGTATACATATATGGGTGTGTGTATGTATGTGTATATGTGTATACGTGTGGATGTGTAGATATATATATATATGTGTACGAGTTTATATGGGTATGCAGATGTCCTTGTGTGTGTATATATATATATATACGTAAGTATAAATATACATGGAGACATGTGGATGGAGACATGTGGATGTGCGTTCTCTCTGCAGGGGTATATGTGTAAAGATGGAAATATACATATATCGTTTCGTGGGAATGTGTGTGTAGGTGTATATAGGAACTCATAGACATATAAGACGATATAGGTATGTGGTTACCAAATAGGGGTTGAGTCATGTGTAGATAAGAAAATATAAAAGAAAGGCCTAAAAACAACCACGAGTTTACTTAATGAACAAAAATCAAAAACAATCACAGGTTCACTTAATGAACAAAAATCAAACGAATAAATGGCAACCTAACAAGCTATAAGATAAAAGCCTTAGTGGAAAAAGTACTAAGTATAAATTGGATTACTCTTTCAATGTTCTGCCTATAGATCTTTCCAATCGACTGCTTCATGGGAAATACCCAAAACTCCACCGAATTTCAAATTAATTTCTTCGTAGATTGTTTTTAAAATTTTAGATATTTATCAAACCTTAACCTCCCAGCGTCTAGGAATTTGAATGAAACCTGTCGGATAATTTATTGGGGCTGTTATAACGCGTCTTCCTCAATGTAGCCTTTATCGCCCACCCCTTAACCACCTTTATCTAGAGACGAGACGCGTTAGATTAGAGCAACATCCAGCCGACACACTGGGGTTAAAATAGAAAACTAAAATGATACATATGACACACTCACATCCTCTCTCCCACCTCACTTCCTCACTTCGCGTATATTTGATGAGGTCCGTAAAAAACCTGTGAATTTTCTTTTCATTCTTCATTTCAGCTTTTGGAAGTAAAGTCTGATGATCCAGAACCCTGTTAAAGGGGTTATATTGAAATAGCTTATTACATGGAATCTTAACGTAGTCTGTCTTTTATTCAAACATATATATATATATATATATATATATATATATATATATATATATATATATATATATATATAGATATAATATATATATATAGATATAATATATATATATATATATATATATATATATATATATATATATATATATATATACATATATATATATATATAATATATATATATAGATATAATATATATATATATATATATATAGTTATAGATATATATATATATAGTTATAGATATAATATATATATATATATATAGTTATAGATATAATATATATATAGAGAGATATATATATATATATATATATATATATATATATATATATATATATATAGATAGAGAGAGAGAGAGAGAGAGAGACAGACAGACAGACAGACAGACTCTTCATCAGGAATGAATGATCGGAGTTTGGTTTCTTGTTTTCATATTTTTCTGTTACACCGTTTGAGAAACCGGATGCTCGACTCAGCGTTAAGTTCATGATGTTTACTCGCTTGTATCCGTGAAAAAAATATTACTGATCAAACGCTTTGCCTTTTCCCCAGAAATTTGACTATTTTTGCATCAAAATGGGAAAGCTGAATGCCACAATGCTCCGATACTTAACGCAGGAAGATTTTCGGGTCCTCATTTCGGTAAGGACTTCTCTTCATATTTTGTCTTAAAAGTGTTCCTACCTAAAAAATCCATGTGATCTTAAAATAAAAATTTAACTGTATTGGTATATAATCTCAGTAGTATACTGACCTTTTGAATTATTTTTAGCAATGTTTTTTATCCAATAACTTTATCATCACGTGGAGCGTAATTAAACTAATTTATTTACATAAACTTTCTTTCACAAGTTACTTTTTCACTCGAGATTTTGGTGAGGGATAATTATTTTTGTTGTACAAAGCGATAAACTTTGGAATTTGTTTTTGTACAAAGCGATAAATTCAGAGGTAGTTCATTTATTTTATTTGGTTATTCAAAAGCTACGCGTTTTGAATAAATTGTAAATTCTGCCGTTTGTTATTTCTACACCCTTCTTATCTTCTTAACTAACTTAATTCTTAGTGTAAGTTGTTTTTTTTAATTATCACTAAGATTTCTATTATTTTGAATATAGATTTAACATCATAAATTTATCATAATTTTCGAACTGATTTTTTTAAAAATCAGTTAAAAAATCAGTTTGCATAGTTGAAAAGCTGCTTGTGTGAACCGTTGTGGAAAAGTTGTCTCCTCACCCTTATTTTTACCTGCAGGTAGGGTAACGGATAACATTAACAATGGTAATAATAATAATGTTATGTCCTTACCTTAAAAAAAACATCAGAAACTAAGTTAGTTGTTTCTTGATCAAAATAAACTTCATAGATTTTTAATGGTGAAAAAAAAATGAAAATAAAAAAGATAGTGATATTTATTCTGTTTTAAAAATAAAGTTTATTTTAAAGTAGTCCATTCAATTTATTTAGAAAGGGTGCCTGGTAAATTTGCTTTTTAACGCCCGCGCGCTAAATATCTCTTATAATTTTCCTAAATCATCATAATTCCGTGTAAATGTACATGCATGCTGAATTAATAATTATTAAATTATGAAGAAACCTACCGTTTTGGAGTTATCGACAAGAAAAAATCGGACTTCTTGTTTTTAATTCGTCCTTCATTAGGCATTGTTTTACATTCTGTCCTGACTAGTATTCACGATTTCCGGTGGCGCAAGCATAAATTTTGGCCTATTTACTTTTCACAGCTATATCTCTTTTTGAAATCACTACGCATTATTGTACTAAAAAGCAATGTTTTTTTTTGTTTTTGATAAGTGTAGTTTTATTTATAACAGAAAACTTTAAACAAAAACAAGTTAAATATTACAATAAAACCTTTTTTTTCTGTGTAGAATAGCAATGACAAATTAAAAGAACATTACTAATTACAATAAAGCTTTTTTATATTTTTAAATTGAAAATAAAACAAACAATAATTAATGCGCAAACTTGGTATAGAAACGAAATAAGGGTTGATTGTATTATTTAATTTTTTTTAATTTGTCCCCTTTTCTACACAGAAACAATCCTAACCCCATCCCTACCCTAACACCTAAAATTAACCCTGTTTATTGTATTATTTAATTATTTTTTTAATTTGTTCCCTTTTCTACACAGAAAGAACCCTAACCTTAACCCATAAACATGCTAGAAACAAAATAAGGGTTTATTCAATTGTATTATTTAATTTTTTTTTCAATTTGTCTGCTTTTAATTAAAAAAAAAAAAAGAAGCTTTATTGTATTATTTAATTTGTTCTTTTAATTTGTCATTGCTATTCTACACGGAAAAAAGGTTCTATTTGTATTATTTAATTTAAGCATGTCCACTGTTTTCGCGGAAAAACAGCATAGCGTAAATGAAAAATGCCACAAACTTAAAGAAAATAAAGTATTATTGTCAAAATGCTTGTTATTAAGATGAAAGAAAAAAGTATTTTTTAATTATTTTTTGAAATTTTTTAATATTTTCTAACACGTTCGAAATTTTGGTTAAAGTCGTCTTTTGTTTACGTCATCACGGTGACGTTTATTGTTTTTTTTTTTTTTTTTTTGCGTTTTTTTCCCGTTGAAAACATATTGATTTGGAAATTCTTGTAAAAATAAAATAATTGTCCGATCTTAATGAAATTTTCAGGACTTATTCACATATGAATGAAATTATTTTTGAAATATTTTGTTTTTAGAAAATTTTGGTAAAAAATATTTTTTTTTAAATATGTTACCCCCCACTTAGTTAATTTCATGAAATTTCGCCCAAAACCTTTTTGGCTCCTCAATTTTATTTTTTTGTTAAAAGAAGGAGTCTTTGGAGATGGTAAATAACCTACTTTTACTATTTTAATACTATTATTTAATTTGTTTTTGTTATAAAGAAAATACACTTGCCAAAAAAAAAAAAAATCCATTTCTTTACGGTAGTGCGTAGTGATGTACCCCGCACTGAATTACCGAACATTATGGCAGTAATGGCGGACGAATGACCAACAAGAAGTCCGATTTTTTCTTGTCGATAACTTCAAAACGGTAGGTTTCTTCATAATTGTTAATTAATTCGGTAAATTTTCATTTTAACACCCGAGCGTCATTCACTGCTGAACTATTTTCTTTCAAAAATTAGTACTCGCTTCCTTAAAGCCTAACCCTAATTTGAAAGTTAACTTTCTTTAAAAAAAAAAATTACTTTATTCTTTTATTTGTCGATGTTTACATATATTTGAAAGTTAACTTTCTTCTTAAAATAAATTAAGTAAAAAAAAAAAAAAAAAAATTCGCTTTACGGAAGCGCGTACTAATTTCTACAAGGAATTACTGTGAAAGAAGTAAATAGGCCCAAAATTGTATACGTCCACCAACAAAATTCAGCACTGAAAGACCAGGGTAAAGTCCGATTTTTTTCGGGTCGTTAACATCCAAAAAGGTAGGTTTCTTCAATATCTAATTGTTGATTTGAGTTCAGCATATACATTTGCACGGAAATAAGACTATTTTGAAAACATTTTGAATGGATATTAGCGCTCGCTCGGGTGTTGAGTTAAAAATTGACCATTAATTCTAGTTCAGCATGTACATTTACACGGAATTATGACGATTTGGGAAAATTTTAAGAGATATTTAGCGCACGGACGTTAAAAAGGAAATTTACCCGGTACGGTTAATATCTATCTATCTATGTCTCCCTTCCTCCTTCATTTTTTTTTTTTAAATTTCCCGAAAAAAGCAGTTTAATTGTCGCATTTTAAATGAAAGCTTCAGGATTTATTCAGAAATTAATTAAATTAAAAAAGATAAATATATTTTACTTAGTCCTAGCTGTTAATCTCAAATTCTATTCTTATTTTCTTAAAAAAATAACTGAAATAATCAAATAAAAAATAAACTGGGTATTTACTTTTAGTTCTTTAAATTTTGCTTATTCTCGTTTGTCCTTAAAAAATTAAAATAAACTTTATGGTTGTTTATAAATATGTTCCTCCCAAGATTCGCTAAAAAAATGTGCGCAATTTTATCAAAATCATTAAAGAGGAATGTCGAATGAATTTTTGATTATTTTTCTATCCTTTTTAGAACCTTCGAAATTTTGGTTAAAATTTTAATTTTTTTTTTTTTTTTTGCGCCAGAATTAGTACGGGAAATTTTAGCAGCGCAACACCCTGATTTGGAAGATCTTGCAAAAATCAGATAATTTACTTTCAGGACTTATTCACTAATGAATGAGATTATTTTTAAAATGCTTCCTTTTTAGAAAATCTTTGTAAAGATATTGTTTTTTTTGTTTTGTTTTTTTTTCATAGTTATAAAAAGGACAAGTCGTCGGTGAATTTAAATTAGGTACCCCCAATAATTCACTTAAAAAGGGCATTGCATGATGAAAAAGGCCCCAACCTCGATAAAAACAATGTTTTATCGTCAAAATGTTTATGGGCATTATTGTCGAAAGAAAAAGTTTCTTTCAATGAATACTGAATTTTTACGAAATTGTTTTCTTTTCTTTTTTTTAATTTTAATTAAAATAATTTATAATTTTTTTTTTAAATCTCTGTATTAATTTGTAGCTGTTAGTGTTAAGTGATATTGTTATGGAACAGACTATTCAACGACACCCAATATTTTAAAAATAATTTTATTTTTTAAATTCATTCATAAAGTTTTTTTGATTTTTGTAAATATAGTTGTCCAACCACAACATTATCAGAAAATAAGAGTGGCAACTATACAAAAGTTAACATTTATTGGTAATTTTCTAATATTTCCCCAACAAGCGTCGTCTTAAAGACTATAAAGCAAAAACTGGGTAGTTAAAAACAATTAAAGGGCAATCACGTTATAGTCAAGTAATTGCTAGTTATATCCCCTTAGAAAAATTTCCAAGTTTGTTAAAAAATGCTTCTCTGTGATGTTTTAAACTAAAAGTAATGTTTCAAATCGGATTAAACTTTAAATCTTCCCCAAATAAAGTTTCAGAAAAATATATTTTATTTTTGAAACATTCTCTTAATAAAGCGAATTACGTTGTGTTGAAAGATTCAACAATTTTTAGCTTTTTTACTGATAATATAAAAAAAATCCTTCTAATCAATTTAAATTCATTTTAAAATACAACAAATTATTTTGCTTATTGGAAATATTAAAGTTAATATTTATGTTAATATCTATGTACTTTGCAAAACAGATTGTTCCTTCCACATCTAGGGCAGTAATCAAGGACATGGTTCAAAAGTGTCCTTAATGCCAATTCATCGATCCAGCAACGATACATTGGTAAAGTGGTAAACTGGAAGTACATGACGCATACTAGTTTGGAAATGGACATCACCCACTATAGACAAAAGCACTACTTGACTCTGATAGACTGAAGACCAACATCTTTCTTGTGACTGTTAGCTCTACAGGACTGTTCACCAGCTGAAGTCTATATTCTGCAAGAGGGGTCCACTATGTGAGCTGATTGTAGACAATGATACTGCATTTAGTAGCAATATACATTCAAGGACTTCATGTATGAATGGGGCATTCAACAAGATTTTTGGTGTGGATATGTTCCGTCACGGAATGTTTACAGTACTACCAAGCTGATTGCTGTGAGGAAGTGGTGTGCTATGCTGGAAGCCAACACAACACTTGAGTCCTACTGTACCCATCAAGACAATCTACTCCTGTGAGATTTGACTGAAAAGTATTGATACAGTACTGTCATCAAAACCAACAAAGAATGATATATCCAAAATAGGAAATGTTATATGGGCAAAACTACCCCTGTACCACTGTACCTCCAAATTTGCAGCAGGAAAAGTGACTGGAATTGTCTGTCTTGGTTGATGGTATGCCTTGTCATAGTGAGGCTCTTTCAATCAGTGTGAGATCAAATTTCCTCAAGAAGTGGAGCAATTGATTCAACTTCAAGAAACTTGATAGACTTGTGCTCATTCAACAACACTCTAGCACAGGCTGAGACATATGAAGATGATGATGAAACCACTGCTCAGTGAAGAAACACCAGACAAAAACAACCACCTCCTACTTGTTGGTGCTTTGATAGGAGATCAAGTGTAATAAGGAAGAATGACTGCATTTGGAGTGTATTTATTGCAATGGGCAGTAGCCAACTATCATTTGGCTGTGTCTGTTGGCTACCTGAGATGAAATTAGGATTTGTTCTGATTAAAGGAGCCTGCTATCATCCTTCATTTTCATTACAAGTAATTTATAAACTTTAAAATTCTGTATTAATTTGTATCAACCAAGTGATAATGTTATTAGATTAAAACTATTTAATAATCATAAATGGATAAGTTCAATGACTCTTAGTATTTTAAAAAGAATTTTGAATTTGATTCATATGTATATAAACATGTCAATTTTTGTAAATACAGGCATCCATACACAAAATTATCAGAAAATAGAGAAGCACCTTTTAGTAAATTTTAAATTTATTGGTAATTTTTTAACGTTTTCTTAACAAGCATCTTCATAAGTAATGCTATAAAGCCAAAGTACCTAAAATTCAATAAAAATATTTAAAACCGTTAAGGTTACAGGGTCATTAAGAAGAATTCTATAAAACACAGCATTTCTGTTAGATTTGTCACTTTTTTTCCTTTTTTTTTTTTACTTATTGCCCCCGCTTAATTAAATCCCAAATATCAGACTATCCTGGGTATGATGATAAACTGCATCCGCATCCTGGGTAAGACGATAAACTACATCCGACAGCTAGTGTCCCACTCATGGGTTAAATAAGCCCTTCCCCCTGTTGGCAGGGTGTCTGAATATGTCAACTGCCCCCCCCTGCAGAGAGTAATAGCCTCTCAATAGGGCCACCTGTTGCCTGTGAGTGGCGACCCGTAATGCCTGGAGACGGGATCCTGGTGGCTGAGCAATCCATGACCCAGGAAAAAACGGCCATGGTACTGCAACACTCCATTTTGGCCCTTATCTGGGTTAGACGTGCGGTTGGAGAGACCCAATCCGATCAATCGGCTAGTCCCGACATGCTCTAGCATATATATTTGTCTTTATTTTCTCCCAATCATGTTATACACTTTGCTCGTGTAGAATTATCAATCTGCTCTTGCGGAACTAGTCCCAACCCTCTATTATATATGCTAAAAAGCAGGGGCTGAGGGTCAATTGTGTCAAGAGATATGACTGTTGACCAACATTAGACTGTTGAGCATTTGATAGAGGTTCAGAAACCTACTCTTGGTGTGAGTATACTGGTTTTGTATCCCTGTCCCAGCCAAGGCAAATGGGTTCTCCCCTTGGTTTATTCCCAACATAAGTTGGACTCCGTGGTGGGTGGAGGAGCATAGGACCAGCGAAAAACATAAAAACACGTATGGCTTCCTCTACATTAAAAAAACTTAAAACGCAATTATATAGAATCTGATTCTTCTTCAGAGAATGAAACGGAATCATCCTTTCCAAGATTTGTTGTTATAGAGTCATGTAGCTCACCAATCACAAATTTATCTCCCTTTATAATAGAAAAGGTGATATCAGGCAACTTAACACCTTTAACTGTCAAGAAATTGAAAAATGAGACACTGCTTGTTGAAGTGGATAAGAAGAAACATGCAGATTTTCTACTAAAACTGACTGTTCCACAACGTTCCAGTAAAAACATACCCTCACAAATCCCTGAACACAAGTAAGGGGGTTGTGAGAAGCAAAGAACTATCTTTATGTACAATAGAAGTAATTAAGAAAGAGTTGAAAAAAACAAGATGTCATTGATGTTAAACGAATTTCAATAAAAAAAGAAGGTAAAATGATAGAAACAAACACCTATATAATGACATTTAACTCACCAAAAATAACAGAGAAAATTAAAGTAGGCTATACCATGGAGAGGGTTGAGCAGTTTGTGCTTAACCCTCTGAGATGTTATAAATGTCAAAAATATGGACATCATGAAGATACGTGTAGAGGACGAGAGGTGTGTGGGAAATGTGGCCAAAAAGATCCTGACCATCACATGAATGAATGTGAATTTCCCAATAAATGTGCTAACTGTGGTGGTGATCATCCGGTCTATGCAAGATCTTGCGACAGTTGGAGAAGAGAAAAGGAAATTCTATGAATAACGCACAAAAATAACATTCCTTACCAAGAAGCACGAAAGATGGTAGTAGGGTCAAACACTACCACATATTCCCAAGTAGTCCATCAGGAAAAAAAACAACAGAACAAATATGAAGAATTGGTCAAAACATTAATGCAGCTGAACCTGGGAGACTGGGACAATTTTATTAATAAGATAAAAGCCTTGTGTGGTCTTGATAAAAACAATGCAGCTACAGTTTCAGAACCACCAACTACTCAAAGTAATCCTGCAGACAAAGGAGAATCTTCCACTAAAACGACTACAAAAACAACAGTGCAGACACAAACCACTTCTCCTAAGAAACAAAAGTCTTAGAAATCATCAAGCCATCCTCCTACTTATAAAAGTGGCAATCTTGGGAAAAATCAAACATTAAACCCCAAACCAAACAATGATAAGACAGAACGTGCCCCACAATCTAAAATAGACAATACTCAAACTTCATCCTCATGGGAACGAGTAAAGATGTCGAACATGACAAGTCACTCTAGAGAATTATCAACATCAAAGGTTGATACCAAAAATAGATTTAGCTCGATAGAAAGTATGGAGACTGAAGAGCTGAGCAATATAAACAAATCTAGGAAAAACAATAAATCTAATTTAACATAATGAAACTACAAAATAATTCAATTCTACAATGGAACTGCAGAGGAATTAGAGCCAACTATGAAGGACTCCTTGATAAATATAACCCCAAAGTTGTATGCCTTCAAGAAACATTTCTCAAGGACACCAACCAGCTAAACATTAAAAATTACAATTCATACAATCACTTACACAAAGACAGACACAGAGCTTCTGGAGGTGTATCAATCCTAGTTAGGAAAGACATACCTCAACACTAAATAACCATAGACAGTGAACTCCAAATAATTGCTGTCAAAACAACATTGCAAAAAGCAGTAAATATTTGTTCTATCTATATTCCACCACATGAGACTATTAATGATATTAAATTTAACAAGTTAATAAAACAAATTCCTAAACCTCACTACGTTTTTGAAAAAATAATGTTGCCAGCTATGCGTTTCTGGAAAAATAACATTGCCAGCTATGCGTTTCTGGAAAAATAACGTTGCCAGCTATGCGTTTCTGGAAAAATAACGTTGCCAGCTATGCGTTTAATAGTACTATATATTTAATATATATATATATTTCTGGAAAAATAATGTTGCCAGCTATATGTTTAATAGTACTATATATTTAATATATATATATATAGGTATATATTTGGCATTAAATGACCTCCAATGGTTGATATGCCATAAAACCCAACCAACCAACCAAATATCAGACTGTCAATAAATCACTCAATGTATGAAAAAATACATCATCTTAAAAAATAGATGCTTTTCTGCAATATTTTAAACTAAAATTAATATTTGTTTAACTCGGATTAATTAAACTTTTTCTCAAATAACATTTCAGAAAAGTATATTCTATTTTTGAAAGAGTTTTTAATAAAAAGAATTGTCATTTGAATTTATTGATGTTACTAATAAATAGAGAAAAAAAGGTTCCACTGTATAAATTCAGTTTGAAATATACCAAAGTATTTTGCTTATTGTGAATATTAAATTTAATCTATTAGCTTGCACTTAAAATTAAATTCAAAAAAGATTTTTCATTTTTTAAAATGCATTTTAAACTTTAGCTATCACCTTTTTCCTTTTTTGTTTTTAATCTACCTTGCCCTTAATTAAACTGAACATGTATATTAAATTTGAATAATCAAGTTATGTTCATTTCAGCCAGGTATAAACTGAGCTTAAATTAAAAAATTTAAAAGGCCCTCATTTCCATGACCATTAGAAAATGAAAGATACTATTATTCTGGAACAGCCACACTGCCAAATCATTGTGGCAACCAGAACTTTTAAATGTTTCCATCACATTTTCAGACTGTTTTATCTTTGTTAGTCACATGATATAGGGAAATCAGTTTTGAGTTTTGTTTGGGTTTGTATATAGTATTTATTTATTTTTTTTTTTTTTTTTGTACTGTAAAACAAAGTGAAAAATCAAATTCATTTCTTGTCTTTTATTGAAATAGTAATAAAACCTAGTTTGAAAGTGATAATAATTTTTTCTACATTTAATTTAATTAATTAAAATGTAGGCAAGAAAAGTATTTCATACCATCACAATAGATCATCTCAATTATGTCAGATTAAGCATAGCTTAATAAATATCTGCTAGAATTCTTAGCTTATAGTCTAGAATTTAATATAGCATTTCTAACTAAATGTTCTTTTTTTTATCATCTTTTACTTATTTTTTTCATTAACCAGGTTGAAATGGGAATGAAAAATCATGAAATTGTTCCTGCACCTCTGATTGCCTCCATTGCTCAACTACATCATGGTGGATGCTACAAGATATTACGGGATTTATGTCAACATCGTTTGATATGCTATGAACGAGGGAAAGGATGTAAGTGAGAAAATATAAAAAAAAGTTTCTGAAGTAAGAAGACAACTTTGAGTGCAACAAATTTGAAAAACATCACTATGAAATTGTCAACTTTGAAAATGTGCTGTCAGTCTTTGAAATAGTGACATAACTTAAAGACATGGAATAAAAATGAATCATCAGATGTGAGAAAGAATTGTATCTTTAGAATTTTGTTTACGTACTAATTTTGTCAAAATAGCCTTGGAAATAAATTATATACAAGCAGTTGAAATGCAAGGAAATTTCACTATTTTGACATATTTTCTCATTGTCAATTAGGGCAGTTTGGGATATTTATAACATTTCTGTTAGTCAAGAGAAATTTTTCTGTAGTTATTAAGAGCCCAGCCTAAAAAAAAAAATAATTAAAATAGGATTTTTTTTTTCTTTTTTTGTGAACTTGAGTACGTGATCATTGGCCTAACGTTTTTTTTTTTTTTGTTTTTTTTTTTTTTTTTTTTTTTTTTTTTTTTTTTGTTTCATTCTTTCAGTCCCTTCCTGTTTTAATACAATAAATCATTCTTTCCCTCCCTTTAGGTGACAGAAAACCATGTTCTCTTATGATGTGGTTGGCTGTCATCTTTATAATAAATGCTGGTGTCAGTGGTTTAAAGGCAAAAAACTCCTTGCATCTTTTTTTAACCTCATCTACATTGTTGAACCATGGCAACATATTTGCTGCTGTTGTGCATAAAGGTCAGCATGACCATCTGGGACAAGCTCAAAGTGCAAGACCCCCTTCAAAATTGCACCAAATATACAACATGACATTCTGTTCAAACTGTCCTTGTTTGACTGGTTCTGAAGCATGGTGGGACAAAACCACTAATTTCTCTTATTAGGATTACAAAAATAGATCCATTTTCATCCCCAGATACAATTTGATGCCAAAAACAAGCATATTGAGTAATTGCTGGCAGTTTTCTTCACAAATGTTCACATATTGAGCCTGGTCATTGGCCAGTTCATGAGTAACTTCTTGACAGTATTTGTCACAAGGCCGAGCTTAGGGAGGTATCAACTGATGGTGCATTGTGAAAGACCAAGTTCTTCCAGCAATGTACAAGTGTTTGTATTTGGGTGTTGTTCAACCATATCAAACAAAGCCTTACCTTCCACAACAGAAGGTCTCCCTGACTTTGGTTTGTCTTCAAGACTGGCATCACCTTTGAAACATCTGAACCAGTTCTGTGCCACATGTTCACTGACAGTTCATGAGCCTTCCGCATCACTAATTTCTTTTGCTGCTGGTCTTGCACTCAGTCCTTTTTTCCACAGGCAGCACAAAATGACCAATTGCAATTTTTTTCACTACTCCTTGTTAAAGCTGTAAAATAAAGAATAAACAATTAATGTATATATGTTATGAAAATAAAGAATGAGCAATACATCAATGAATGCAATTTGTATCAAATTAAGGACATAACATAAATATAAAATTTGCCAAATATCATTAGTGAAAATCTGAAAAAAAAAAATTTTCACTTGACCTGTTTTTTCTATTTCTCTGTGTGTGTGTGTGTGTGCGTGAGCCTATATAAAATAGGATACAGAATCCCAACCTAAGATTATGACAAATAGATAACCATTTCATTGAAACTAAATTTGATTGCACATGTGTTTGTGTGTATGCTTAAATAATAAATCATTAGTACTTTTTCCACCAACCTGTCATTTATGGTGATGAAAGAAAAGAATGGAAAAAAAAAAAAAAAACGTTAATATTTATTTTGTATCTTTTAACAATTTTCTAGTTGTTGAAATTCATTTATACATTCACTTAACTTTTCTACATTGAATTTAAAGTAAATCATCTTATTTTCAGAATGACTCAAAAGCAAAATATTCATATAGCCTTTTATGAAATTTATTTAAAGTAAATACTTATGAAAGAAATGTGGATTTTTTTTTCATTTTTTGATCTGATGAAACCTAGAAAAGGCGAAATGCATAATCAAATCTAGTTTCAATGAAACAGTTTTCCATTTGTCAAACTTTTTTCTTTTCTTTTTTTAAACATATTTCATGCAGTGATTACTAATGCTTACATTTTGTTTTCTCTTCCATCATGGATATTTCCACACTTTACTGAACATGTGAACAACTAAATGTTTTAGGGAAAATGGAAACAAAAAGGGCAGTCATACTTAGAATCAGGAAGAAACAGTTGAAATTTCTAGGGCACATAATGAGAAATGAGAGCTTAGAAAGTTTTACACACAGGGTATATTGAAGGCAAGAGAGACAGACCAAAGCAGCGTGTAACCTACCTAATAGGCTTTTGTAAATGGTTGGCAAAAAAGGGATTAGGAAAGATAGCAAAAAGACAAATTTTGAAACAAAAAGGAAATTGTGGAAAGCCATAATCACCCACATTCTGAAGGTTCACAACACCTAAAAAAACAGTTTTTAATTCTAAGTGAAAATAAAAATAAATCTAACTTAAAATTTTAATTGCATTTGAAGTTTGACTTATTCCAGAATTGTCACCCTTATTTATTTACAAATAAAGTATAATCTAAATTCTCTATATCAAAAGTGATGAAAGCTTAATGGTCACCTTCAGGCGACTTTAAAAGATTATACATCTGTCTTCTTAATTCCTGTTCTTTTACTCTTATCACTTTCCTTAATGTGTTTGTTTTTTTTTTTGTTATATATAGTCGCATTCCTTGTGTCTTAGTAGCTTTATTACCTTGCTTGGGGTGAAATGGTTAAAAAAAAAAAAATTTTTTTAAATTTTGACTAATATAAGAAGCCATTTCCAGATGCACTATATATTGCAAAGTGAAAAAAAAAATATAATGTCCTGTCTTTTTTATCACAGGTGAAGGTTATCGTCTGACCAATAGTGGTTATGACTACCTTGCTTTAAAAGTTTTTGTCACTAGGAATTCAATTACTTCACTTGGAAACCAAATTGGAGTTGGCAAAGAATCAGGTAATAAAACCCAATCACATTTTTTGAAAATTTCTAAAGTTTTTATTTCTGCTTTGTTTCCTGCGCTACATTATAAAATTTGTTCTTAATAAGACTTACTTTTTATAAGACCAATGTCAATATTTTTTTTTTTTTATTTCTCATGAGAAACTTGATTTCTCATGAAATCTAATCTAGTTTTAAACCAAGCTTCTGAACATTTGTTATTTGATTTTTAATTTCTTCAATCATCAGTGTTCCAGGCTGTCAAGAACTGTTGTTTGATCAAATTTAAGAATATCTTCAATATGCTAGCACTAAGATTCTTAACAGGACTGAAGCAAATTGAATTATCTTGACCATCAACCAAATGATGGATTTGGTTGATGGTCAAGATAATTCAATTCAATTGTGAAAAAAACAGAACTTTTCCAGGTGTGCTAGATTCATATTAAATGCAGCTGACAAAGATAATTTTGGAAAGTGTCACTTCATGTATGGCCTGCCAATTTTAATGTGTTTTACTTTTTTTTTTTTCTTTTTTTTTTAAATATAAATACTTCCAGCAGAGTTTCCTGAAAATATTTGCTATCTCAGAGTTGTCCAGTGACTTTAATGTCCCACATGAGCACTTTGGACATAAAACGCAAGAAATCTCAAACCTAAATTGACATTGATGTAGAAAACAAATACTAAAAGTTTTTCTGAATATCACACTCATTTTGTGCATCATGCTTTCAAATTGAATGAATGTTGGTGCATGGCTGATGTAGTTTGCATGGAAAACATCAGAAGAGCACGTGTATCATTGTCAATGGCATTAAATTTCATCAACAATAGTAAGAATGAACTATGTTACTTTTGAAATGAAATGTTCAGCTGCAAAAACATTTGGTTTTATTATGAAATCATTTTTTGATTTTGAATGTTTTTGAAATGCAGTAACTTTGATTCTTTAAGTGTAAAAATTTACATAAGTTGTAAGAACATGCGAGAAAAAATATAAAGTCATTTTATGCCCAATGAGTTTGTTGGCTCTATCTAAAATAATGAGGTTTAAGAAAGATAAATTGATTGCCAATAGGAAATTAAATTATTCCTGCTTTTATTTATTTTGTATTTCTCAATTTATGATTTAGGAAGAGATGCTAAAAATAAAAGAAAATATGAAACTTAAGTGAATTTATCAATGTGTTGTTTATTTTTTCTCTTTGACAGATATTTATATTGTTGGAACAGAAAATGAACAGCAGCATGTTCTCAAACTGCAGAGGTATGTTTTATATGATTATGCTACAAAAAAAAAGATTAGCAAATAATTGTCATAGTATTTTTACTTTCATTAGTGGAGAAAATTGATATTGGGAAAATGTTAAAAATTCATTAAAATATTTTCACTTGTTTGACAATTTAAAAATTCTGGATATTATAAGGATTGTAAACAGTTGATTTAGGGAAAGGTTTTATTGATAAAAGTAAATAATTAATAATCTCAATAAGATATACTAAAAAGATGAAGTATAGGCAAACAGATTTAGTGCATATTGTCATTTAACTGAAATTCTAATATTTTTTTTTGTTGTTCTGTTGAAATATATCTTTTACAAGCATACAGAAGTAGGTAAAGAATTTTGCATTGCAAAATAAACAATAAATGTTCTTGATCTCTTCCTCTAGAAGTGGTGATTCTTTGGTTCTTTTCTCACAGAAGAATCATTAGATTTATGATTTTCTTTAACAAAACAAGCAGTTTACAGACTTTGTAACCAGAAATTACTACATCACTTCCTTTAAGATACATTTTTTATTCAAGATGTGTCTGAACAAAGTTTGCAGGGAAAATGACAAAAATCATTTTATTCTGGACAGTGTCAAATTATCTTGCTTGTGGTGTCTAATACTCTTTACAATTAATTGCTTGGATAAAGTAATAGGATCAGTTATTTGTTTTAAAAAAATTAATGATGATGTGTAGTAGATTTTTTCTTTTTTTTTTTTTTTTTTACAGGCTTGGAAGAACTTCATTTCGTCAGCTGAAGAACAAACGTGATTACCACCAGCATCGACAAAGTGCATCTTGGCTTTATCTCTCTAGGATTGCAGCCATGAAAGAATTTGCGTATATGAAAGTCGGTAACAACTGATGTTTGCTAAGATTTTTAACATGTTAAATCATTTCTACTAATACAACAGTGAATTTTTAACATTTACACTTTGTGATTTAGTGTGGCTTTTTGCACAATTTTAAAATCTTATTTAATAATTTTTATGAAGATACATAAAAATGACTGTTAAAAGTGATCTAATCTTTTTTTTTTTTTTTAATTAAAAAAATTTCAAAATAATTTCAGTTACTTTTTAATGAACTTTTTTTTTAAATTTAAAAATCTTAATAAAACTAATAGGATATTTTAAGTTTTTATTTTAAATATTCCTTACTTAAAACTTGATATCATGCATAGTCCTTTTTAAAACTGTAAGCAACTAATATAAAAAAAAAAATCTCTCCACGAGTTAATAGTATAATACTTAGGGGTCTGGTTATAAAATATCACACCAGTTAATGAATGTCTGAGATAAATTTTAGCCAGTTTGGTGAAAGATGCGTAAACTGAGCATGACTATTCCCATCATTCATTTCCCTCATCATGTGGGAATCTTTTATGTTATATACCTGCTGAGATTAAATATTCACCTTAACAGGTCATGGCTTTGTTTTGTGGTGGTGGATCCAGCAATGTTTCAATGGCAGGAATTTCCTATCAGAAAGGACAAACTGTTGATAAAGCTATCAACAATTTATTATCTGTCTATATTTCTGAGATGAGGTATTATGTACACTATTTACATTATTCAGACTATTGTCCACATCTTTGTCACCATATGTATTACAATGTTTCAGCCGTTGTACGCTCCAGCCTTCTTCAGATGGTTGGAATGTCGAACTGAACCCTTTATTTAGACTGTTCTAGTTCCACATGCCATGTTTAATGGATGTCAGTTATCAGTTATCTCCTGTTAATTCCCTTCTCCAAGTTCCCCACTGCCTTAACCAGGTATTGAACTCACACTCTTTGGGTCCTTTATCCACTGTGCCATGTGTCCTTGAGGACATCTGTGTATGAATTTCTTGGTATTATAAACCTAATGTCTCAGCACCAGTTTTTACCAGTGCTCATATTGCAATTTTTGCTGTTATCATTACATGTTTTTACCAGAGCTCATATTGCAATTTTTTATTTTTATTATCGCTTTTTCTCTGGCACTCCTTGGTTTCCATATTGTATTCATTTCTATGCTTGGTTGGCTCAGGAGATTTTTGTGGCCTAGCATATGTGCTGATTCCTTAAGTTTACAAATTTTCCAATGGTGTTTTTTGCCTATGATCTCAACCTGATCACACAGAGGGTGGTGATATCCCTTTTCTCTCCATATGTGGTCAGCAATGCCTGATTTTTCCACTTCCCCTTAGTTACAGCTGTGGTGTACTTGAAGCCTTACCTTAAGGGGGCAGCCTGTCTCCCCTTTATATTTCTTTCCGCAACTGAACGGGATAGCAACACACAGTCCTTAGTCATGTTCTCCTTTAGGGGGTGGTCTTACTCAGGGAGAGATATCTGCGAATTGTCGTCTTTTGAAGGTTGTCCTGATGTTATATGGACCGCAGATCCTTTGTATTTTCTCTGATAACCCTTTCACATAAAGGCAGGCAGACTGTTTTCTGAGTCTTGTTGTCCTCCTCTTGTACCTGTCTATCCCAGTTTTTTGGGGCTGCTGCCATGTACCAAGGGTAGTTATGTTGTAGAAATTTGTGGAAATAATCAAAGATGCTCCTATCCTATCCAACCAGATAGTGAGCTTGGATGTGGTGAGTTTGTTCACCAAGGTACGCACGAAGGAGGCACTCTCAGTAGACAGAGACAGATTGGCTTCTGATTCATCCCTAGAAGAACAGACCAGTATTCCAATACATAATCTGATGAAGATGCTGACTTTCTGTACACAAACAACACACTTCAGAATGGGATCACGCATATATATCAACTTAGCAATGGCGAATATATACATAGAATACTTTGAGGAAATGGCATTACAATCCCAGATTTCTCTCTCAACATAACTACCCTTGGTACATGGCAGCAGCCCCAAAAAACTGGGATAGACAGGTACAAGAGGAGGACAACAAGACTCAGAAAACAGTCTGCCTGCCTTTATGTGAAAGGGTTATCAGAGAAAATACAAAGGATCTGCGGTCCATATAACATCAGGACAACCTTCAAAAGCTAGAGGACACTTCCCAGATTTCTCTCTTGAGTAAGACCCCCCCCCCATAAAGGAAAATATGACTAAGGACTGTGTGTTGCTATCCCATGCAGCTGCGGAAAGATATATAAAGGGGAGACAAGCTGCTCCCTTAAGGTAAGGCTTCAAGAACACCCGAAAGCTGTAACACGAGGGGAAGTGGAAAAATCAGGCATGGCAGACCATATATAGAGAGAAAAGGGAAATCACCACCCTCTGTGGGATCAGGTTGAGATCATAGGCAAAGAACACCATTGGAAAATTTGTAAACTTAAGGAATCGGCACATATGCTAGGCCACAAAAATCTCCTGAGCCGACCAAGCATAGAAATGAATACAATATGGGAACCAGTAATAAGGAGTGCTAGAGAAAAAGCGATAATAAAAATAAAAAATTGCAATATGAGCTCTGGTAAAAAAATAGTTGCTGAGACATTAAGTTTATAATACGCAGAAATTCATACACAGAGGTCCTCAAACACATGGCACAGTGGATAAAGGCGTTGGTTAGATCCAGAGAGCGTGAGTTCAATACCCATTTAAGACAGTGGTGAATTAATTAACAGGTGATAACTAAACATTACCATGGCATGTGGAACTAGAACAGTCTAAATAAAGGGTTCAGTTCAACATTCCAACCACCTGAAGAAGGCCGGGGTGTACAACGGCCAAAACATAATAAATATGGTGACAATAGTCCGAATAATGTAAATAGTGAACAATTTATTAATGATGAAAGCTGCATCCATTGAACTAATGCAAATCAACTTCAGTAAGTTCTATTCTTCCCTTGAGGTATTGAGATTATAACTTTGCTGTTGCTAGAATATTTGACAAAAAAAAAACAGCAGTGATATACTGAAGCAGCCAAGTGTCTCTCTGCCTGTCTTCTGTCTTCCTTCTGCTGTTTCCATCTGTGCTTAAGGGTAATTTTTTCAAGAGAGACTATGATTAATTAGGCATTGTATCTAGTTATACTGGATTTTACTGAATCTTACTTGGTTCAAATCCTCCTGATGCCTTCCTCATAAATATTTTATAGGTTTAAATTAATATTTTTAGCCCAGACTTTTTCTCATGGGTTTCCAACCCGAATTACTACACTCCCATATTTTATTTCATCTAATATCTCTTCTCCTTTGCTCAGGATTACCAAATCTCTCAATAGCTCAAACCACTGAACAATATTTCATGCACTAATATAATATGACTCAGTCAGGGCCACTGCCTTGTTACAGTAGAAAAAACTTAGATATGATACTTTAAAATAGTGATTGAAATACTTTTGTAAATTTTATTTTTATTGAAGAAAAAGATCAGACCACTTTTAATAAGAGATTTACATTTTCCTTGGTGCTGTCATTTAGGCATAATCTGTTATTTCTATTTTAGGCTCTCCATGGTCGTAAATTTCCTGTACCCAAACCAATTGACTTCAACCGCCATGCTGTTGTAATGGAATTAATCGATGCCTATCCCTTGTATGTAACAAAAAAGATCAATTTTCTAAAATTCACACTATCAGAATAGTTTAATCAGTAAGCTTCCACTGTGCAAAAGAAAAAAAATATACTTAAATAGGAATTAAACCAAAACATTGTAAGTGTCAAATGGATTGTTTGTCTATTTATCCTTTATTGAACCGACAAATTAATGTTAAAGTTAGGGTCTTTCTTCTATTGGTTTTGTATTAGCTGAGTTGTAAAATGTAAAATATGAGACCTGGGATGATTTTCTGCAATTAAATCATTTGAATTCCATCATATCTTTGGAGCTTTTATGCAATTTAAATATTAACTTTAATTTCTGGGACAAGAAATTATTGAACAGTAAATCTATCCAGTGTACATCTTGATTATTATAGTCACAGTATTTTGGCTGTCGCACCCTCCAGCATTCTTCTAATATGTCACATTTAGTAACCGTCTGGAAATTTCAAACAGAACTCTTTATTTTCACCAGAAGGGTAAATTGTTCTTTTCTTTCACTTTTTTCACTAGCATATATGACTTTGCCTATCTGACTCGGCAATTCAAATTTCATTTACCAAGTAACTTGATATGTTTAACCAATGTTTTTATTCACTGTTGTATGTAGAGGAATTTTAGAGTCTTAAGTGATTCTGTAATAGTGTGAGGTGTATTTTGCTGGAGTTCACAAGTTCTATGAGAAAAACTGAAGTTTGTTATAACAGATACAATGCTTGCCATGTTTCCCAGTAGTTTTGCTCCAACTAGATAATGCAGTCCCCAAAATGTTAAGATAACCTGAAACTGATTACAGATACTCTATTGGCCCATGTGGTCACCAGAATTGAACCCCATTGAACATGTATAGGACATATTGCAGAGTTTACTAAATTCCCTGCAGCCACACTGAACAAGTAGAACTCAGTTATGGATAGCTCTGAAAGGTGCCTGGGTAAAAATACACCCACACAGTCACCCTAGCATCTCATACACTCTACATAATCTCATATAGTTGCTATTGTTTGGTAGTTCTCTAACGTTTTACTATTTCAGTTTATGTATTTGTTAACCAAAGTTTGGTACAGGTTCAGATTTTTTTAAATAAAATATTTTCCCATTTACTAATTAAATTGACTTAATTTTTTTTTTTTATCTGATTAATTATGATTTCTCCATTTCAAGAGCCAGAGTTAAGTTTACATTTGTTACTTTTTTTTTTTTTTTTATAAGGTCTCAGGTGAGAAAGATTGCTGACCCATCACCTGTCTACAATGATATCATGAATTTGATTGTGCGCCTTGCTAACTGTGGGATCATTCATGGAGATTTTAATGAGTTCAATTTGATGATTGATGATGACAGTAATATCACAATGATTGATTTCCCACAGATGGTATCTGTCTCCCACTCCAATGCAGAATGGTAAAACTTAGACTTCATTTTGTACCATGTTTTAGGACAACTTTAATTGTTCTGAAGTTGTTTTTTAAAAAAAGAATAAAACACTGTATGAAAAAACATTTTCATTAATAGGAAAAAATATTTTTGAACTGATTCATTTTTATGACTAAATCTAATTTATTTGACCTAATCAGTTATTATTGATAATTTTCTACTTAATATATTCTTAAAATGACTATTATAAATTCTGAAATATTATATTTTCTTGTACGATTTTTTTTTTTAATTTTCCTTCCTTCACTTTTCATCAGATTATTAATCCTATCAAAGACAAATGTGTATATCTAACATTGTGACTTGGCCCAATTAGTGATTTGTTTTATGTGTGATGTTAGGTTTAAATAATTGCCTTTTTAAAATTATACTGCCTCTGGACACCTACTATTCTCTTGAGAGTTCACAGCATTCCCAGTGTTGTACAGCTATTCATATTGAGAATTACTGAGTTAAGGGATTCAAATTATTATGCTCTAAGTCCATGCAACATTTACCTAGAATCTGCTTGACACTATGCATACATGCCGAAAATTCAGTTTTGTGTGTCTGATTTAATGTTTTTCTTCTTCCTCCTTTATATTTCAGGTACTTTAATCGAGATGTCAAGTGTATCAGGGATTTTTTTTTACGGCGATTCAATTATGAAAGTGAATTATTTCCCACTTTTGCTGATATACAGTAAGTTTGCATTTTGATTTACCTTTAAGGTTGTTGTCGTGTAAAGCTTTTCATCTCCGTGATTACCATTACCAACTGTAAAATATGTTAGAAAGTAGCTATGATGGAGGATTATCAAAAAATTAAACTCATCTTGGCAGGAAGGTTTAATCAATTTTCATAAAATTTATGTCATTAAAAAGAAGTGGAGAAAAACTTAATATAAAAATTAGTTAATAAACTATGAAAACTGATTTGTTTCTTAAATTTGCTACTGTTTGTACATGTAACTGAAAAACATAGAAAAATAAATTGGAAAATGCTCAATACCAAATATACACTTGAATTTGAAAAATTAACTAATGGATTTGAATAAAACTTTCAGTATTTATTGGTTACTGAAGTTAGTTTTTTTTACACATATAAGTAAATCCTTCCCAATTTCTTTAACTTTATATTCTAATAAATATCAGTACAAACATAACATAACTTATATTGTAAAAAAATAATTCTCTAAAGAATTTAAATCATTTTCAAATTTTTTTCTGAAAATGTATCTGCTGAGAGTGAATTAATACCCAAAATCTAAAAGTTAAACTTGCAATATAAACTAATTTTATTAGCAATTTTTTAAACTTTAAATGTAAAAATATATTTTTGCCTTACAGTATGTGTGAGACTACCCACCTCTGCAACTCGTTGCACAAAGATATAGACCCCACGTCGTAGAATTTCTGTGCGGTGGATCGAGCGAAAGGCAGGTTCACATGCAAAAGAAAAACACAACTACAAACTTGGGTAGAACGAAGAGAGGAGGGAAGGCGTGTGACCTTTTGTGGATAGTTAACTCTGGGCTGATTCTCGGCTGGCAAAAAAAAATATATCCTAACTAACAATGTCCGGCTGCTAGGGTGTCGCTCTTTGTTGCTACTTGCTACGGCCTGAATCCCTTCCTCGAATCTAAACTAAGTCTGCCACTAACCCAAGCGTTCCCGTATATATATAGAGACCTCTGTCATCGTTTCCGGGAAAGGGACACCCACGAATAAACCCATAACTTTTTCATGGCCATTTCTCCCTTTGAAGAAAAGTGGACATAAAAATTTTCCTAGCCTAGCTGACTCCGATCCAGGGACATTAAATTCAGACCCTTTTAAGTTTTGACCAGAGCCGGTCTTTTAACTATCTTCGTATTTTGACAAGTACTTAACACTTATCTACCCTTTTGGCCATATGTTCAAAACATGTTTTTATCTAGATTCCTAATCTAGTCATTGGGTCTTGAAGTTTGATACCCAGGTCAAATCTAACTAATCTTCTCGCACATATGTGTGCGCATGCACGCACACACAGATATGTGGGTGTATATATACACACACATACAGATGTGCAGGCGCACACACACACACGCATGCGCATATATCTAACTCATAGTGTCACATATGTAAAATGAAGAAAAATTAACATTAATATTGTTTTTTTTTTATTTTAAAAGTATTTAATTTGATTTTTTTTAAATATTTTAAAATCATATTTTCATATCTCTTACTCTGAAAGGCCAAATATGGCATTTAATGAAAATGTAGTAAACCACTCTTAAGAGTTTTTAAAATTGCTTTTGTTAACAATCAGTAGATATGTTAGCTCCCTTTCTTAAACAAAAAATTGTAATTGAAAAAAATAAACAAAAATTAATTAACCAGTTGTCACCTGAAATTAAAATGGTTCTATCACCAATTTTTCATTCATTTTTCTTTTTTGGGGGCTGTGACATGCTCTCTCTGCAACACCCTATGTGACCACTTAAGTTTTGTACAAAAACCTTCATTTAAAAAAAGTTCTGCTTTTGAAGTAAAAGGTTTTACTATATTATTTGTCCTCCTCAACAATAAAGCCATTCACAGATATTTACTTTAGCCACCCCTTGTATTAAGACATATTTGAAATGTAAGTAAAAACAAATAAAATTAAATATTTTGCTTTTTGATTTAGAACTATTTTCATGATGCAACACTTAATTTACAATAATTTTCCTAACTACCTGCCCCCTTTGGTCAGCCTTTATATAATACCTAAGTATAAAATGCCTTTTAAGAAATGAAAAATCTTTCTTGAAGTTTTAATTTTAGTTTGATTTCCATGCTAATAGATTAAATTTAATATTCTCAAAATAATTTTATGTATTTCAAGCCAAATTAAAATTGATTGGAATCTTTTTTCTCTTCTTGTCAGTTATTATTATTATCGAGTCACTACACTACACCCATCCAATGTTGCATACAGAGCATTGCCTGGGATGTTAAGGTTTCAAGGTTGTTACTCCTTATCAGTAAAATCTATATTTATATTGACAGATCTATCAGCACAACATAATTATGTTTTTTAAAAAGTCTTTCTAAAATAAAATGTACTTTTCTGAAACATTATTTGAGGAAAATTATTTGATATAAAGTTTAATTAATCTGAACTGAAACAAATTGTTTTTTTCTAACGTGTTTAGTGATTTATTGGCAATCTGATATTTGGGAAATTTAAATAAGGGGGACAGAACCAAAAAAAAAGTTACTTGACAAATAGAATGTGAACCCTTTTTTCTTTTTTTTCTTTTTTTCTTTAACTACCCAGTAATCATAAAGATTTAATAAAATATTTTAAGCAATCTAATATTTTATTGAATTTTAGATACTTTGGCTTTATAGCCTTATCTTAAGAAAATTAGCATGAAATTTGAAAGTCATTATAGGTACTTCTTATTTTATGATAATGTTGTATGTCTTTTAATATAGAATTTTAACAGATTTTTCTCAATTTCATAAATTTCAAGAAATTCTTTTTTGTACTAAATGAATGGAGGTAGTGGGTAACAGTTTAAAAAATATTTTTACAAAGATTTTCTAAAAAAAAAAAGAAATGTTTAAAAATAATTCAATTCATTAAAACCTGAATAAGTTCTGATTTTTAACTTTTATATAAAAATAGATCCTTTGGTCATTCTTAATAATGGCACAATGATTTTAATGATAATTCTGTTTTTCTTGTGTTCTGAGTATTTTTCTTTTGGTTCCCCACCCCCAAATTTCAGTAGGAGGATGGCCTCTATGCACCACTTTAAGTATACAAATAGTTAACATATCCTTAGTATACTTCAAAAAAGAATCTCTTTGTAGCATTTATGTTATCACCATAATAATTTTTTCATCTACTACTACCCTACCTAAGGAAATTAAAAAATTAGGCCAATGACTTCTATAGGTTTAATGTCCCTTTACAACATAGACTGCCATTAATAGTGGGGTGGAGTTGTGTTTAATTAAGACAAATACCCACTTGAGAAGCTGAATCTAATCCCCTTGACATTAGAGGCAAAATCTTTAAAATGATGTGTCTCTGCAATGCTTTTCTCCTGGAGATCTAGAGTATAAAAAAAACATTACAAGATCATGCTATGGAAAAAACTAGACATTGCAAATAAAGTTATAGGAATCATTTTATTTCTACAAAACTTGTAGAACTTTTTAAATATCATTTTTTTAAACTGTATTGGGATTGAAAACAAATTTGAAATCAAGTTTCTGCAAAATCTGGATTAAATTTGAATTTAAAGGTTTGCATACATTCCTTGTAGTTATTCAGTGATATATATGATGTAAAGACATATGTTTCTGTCAATTTAAAAACATGTTAGGATTAGCCAAACTTTGAAGTCAAATATTTCAAAACTAAAAAAAGTGCAGGTAGATTCTTTTTAATTCAGATAACGAAGTGAAAAATCTTTAAATCAAATACATGAACTAAAAAAGAAAAAAAAATGTTCTTACTTCAAGTTTAAAATATATATTTTACTGAGTTAATCTGTGTTGACTGACAATTATTCTTCATTTACATTATTCATTGATTGGTAAACTCCCACAATTTTCAGATTAAATATGACAGGTTAGCGGGGTTATAGTTTTTTATTATTAATACTCCCACCCTCTGATCATGCATGCTTAATCATCTGATGTTGGCATACCTCTAAGGCATTACTACATTCATTTATCTTGCATACATTGTCAGTTGCATCAGACACATAAATTAAAGTGCATTTTTTTAACTTTTGATGCTGAAAATAAAGGTATTTTTTCAATATATTTTAAGTAAAAGTTGTGTAACATTTTATCAAAATCTAAAAGAATAATTGTTAGAAAAAAAAACGTTTTCACTGGAGGTTTTCTATATCCTCCCCCCTGCTTTTTTAAAATCAAATTACGATTGACGCTTAACAATTTGTCATGTCATTAATAAGATGGTTTAAAACTATGTATACTAAAGTTTTTATTTTTTTTTTTTATGACTATCTTCATACTGTTCTTTTACAATTGTATAAATGAAATGTGCTTCCAAACTGGCTCCTGTTTTCTGCAACAAATGCCTCACTGCTTCTTATCTGGGGCAAGAAATGGCTTGTAAATTATAACATCTCCAAAAACAAAACTGCAGTCTTTTAGTCATCTGAGAAGACTATTTTTGCTTTCCCTCAGCATGGCTGATGCCAACCTCCAAGAGAGCAACTCATTGCATCTTCTCAGTTTCACATTTTCCACTGACATAAAGTGGAATAATTATATTGAATAAATTGCTAAGAGACTTGCTTCAGTGTATCATGCTCGATAATTTTTCTTGCATGTCTATAAATCTACCATTTGTCTGTGTATTAAATATTGCTGCAACATATGGTTTGGTTCTCCTGTTTTATATATATATAGGGCATGTAATAATGTGTCCTGACTTGGAATTTCAGATTCAGTCACTTTTCCAATGCCATAATGTAGCTTCCCTCTGTCTTTTCTATAAACATTTTCATGACAATTGCCATGAAAATATTTAGAACCCTGACCTCATTCTCACCTACAATCTTCAAAAATTTAAATGCAATGTCAATTGCCATTTTCTGTCCCTTGCTCTTTTATTGTCCTTTTCTCCTCCTTGACGTCTTTCTCATTTTTTGCACCCTCAATAATCCCTTACATTTTAGTGGCACT